CAGGATTTCAAGACTTGCCTCAAAGGATAAATAGCTCATTTAATACAAAGAACCTGTACATTAGTACATTCTCTTAGTACAGTCTCTTTGTAAACTGCTTTGGAGGTTTGAGCTGCATATACATTTTATAAAATAAATACATGACAGAATTAGACTCCTAATTATAAGTGGTCACTTTGGGTGTGGAAAGTGTTCATAGAATCATAGAATCATAGAGTTGGAATAGACCACAAGGGCCATCGAGTCCAACCCCCTGCCAAGCAGGAAACACCATCAGAGCACTCCTGACATATGGTTGTCAAGCCTCTGCTTAAAGACCTCCAAAGAAGGAGACTCCACCACACTCCTTGGCAGCAAATTCCACTGTCGAACAGCTCTTACTGTCAGGAAGTTCTTCCTAATGTTTAGGTGGAATCTTCTTTCTTGTAGTTTGGATCCATTGCTCCGTGTCCGCTTCTCTGGAGCAGCAGAAAACAGCCTTTCTCCCTCCTCTATGTGACATCCTTTTATATATTTGAACATGGCTATCATATCACCCCTTAACCTCCTCTTCTCCAGGCTAAACATGCCCAGCTCCCTTAGCCGTTCCTCATAAGGCATCATTTCCAGGCCTTTGACCATTTTAGTTGCCCTCCTCTGGACACGTTCCAGTTTGTCACTGTCCTTCTTGAACTGTGGTGCCCAGAACTGGACACAGTACTCCAGGTGAGGTCTGACCAGAGCAGAATACAGTGGCACTATTACTTCCCTTGATCTAGATGCTATACTCCTATTGATGAGGCCCAGAATTGCATTGGCTTTTTTAGCTGCCGCGTCACACTGTTGGCTCATGTCAAGTTTGTGGTCCACCAAGACTCCTAGATCCTTTTCACATGTACTGCTCTCAAGCCAGGTGTCACCCATCTTGTATTTGTGCCTCTCATTTTTTTTGCCCAAGTGCAATACTTTACATTTCTCCCTGTTAAAATTCATCTTGTTTGTTTTGGCCCAGTTCTCTAATCTGTCAAGGTCGTTTTGAAGTGTGATCCTGTCCTCTGGGGTGTTCTTGCAGTGCAGAACTGTAATAGCAAAAAACAATGTACCAGTCCCATAAAGGTTTTTACAGCAATAATGTAATGCTGTATACGTAAGTAATATTGTGTCCTTGTTCACGAATGAGTGGAGTTCTGAGATTACAGATTAGTGAGCACAGAAGTAAGATTGCAACAAAACCATTTGTGGCTCCATTAACATTTCACTTCCTGGAAGGTAAGAATACACCTGAGGATTTAAGGTTCATTGCTGTTGAACAGATTCACATATACAGGGAGAAATCCCCACCTCCTACTTTAAGCTATTAAATGTTCACCTTGCAAACTGTCATTCCTTATCAGCGGAATGAAAAAATTGATTTGCCAGCATATTTATAAGGATGTTTTCAATATTGTAGCAGCCTGTTTACCATTCTAAACAGGAAATGCTCTCTTGTTGCTCAAGGGCTGTTATAGCTCAGTGGTCTTAGGACACTGATACATGTTTCTTATGGTTTTCTTCTATTGTATGCATGGTATATTGCTAAAATGATAACCTGACAGATGCATACTGTACTTAGATATTCTACATTCTAGTCCCTGAAATCTGGGGGGCCTAAATTGCATATGCAGATTGTTTCCTAATTATACAAGTCAGGTGCTGGGTTAAGAAAGGCTGCAGCAACTCCCTCTCCTCCTGACCTCCCACTGCAACCCCCCCCCCTTTCCAAGTTTCTTTTATAGCAGGAGTGGAGAACAACATGGATTTTCCAGATGTTTCTGGACTCCACTAGCCATCAGGCCAGGCCAGCGTGGGCAACGGAAAGGGAGCTGGAGTTGATGAGAGTCCAGCAATATCTGGCTCCCAGAGAGGTTTCCTCCTCTGTTGTAGAGGAATGAGAGAGAGGGATGGGTTTTCTTAGATATTTCTGCATGTAATGACTGTCTGAACCCTCAAAGGGTACTTAACAGATATTAAGAGAATTTCGCATATTGTAAGAAGTCTAAAATTCTTTCCTGAGGGAGATGGGAGGGCAGGGAATACAGGATGTTCCTTTGCTGCTATTATGACTTATTGTTTTTAGCTTTCTAAAATTATAAATCAAAATAAAATCTCTTCCTGATAATAAACTCCATTGAACAAAACAGGACTTACTTGTGTGGAGAAATGTGCTGCTTGTCTAACAAGGTACTGTAACCCCCAATCATCAAAAGCCTATTTGATCCTGTGTCTTACTAATGACCCATTACCACCAGGCTGCCACCTCAAGGTGGGATTAGTCCAGAATGCATTAGTTTTTAATACAGTGGTACCTTGGGTTACATATGCTTCAGGTTACATATTCTGCTAACCCATAAATATTACCTTGGGTTAAGAACTTTGCTTCAGGATGAGAACAGAAATCGTGCTCCGGTGGCGCGGCGACAGCAGGAGGCCCCATTAGCTAAAGTGGTGCTTCAGGTTAAGAACAATTTCAGGTTAAGAACAGAATCTCCGGAAAGAATTCAGTGCTAACCCGAGGTACCACTGTATACCACAGGAAGCACCAGTCTGCCTTAATTAGCTCTTAACACAAGCTATGGTAATTTCAGAGGATTTAGAAACTGTCTAATACAAATGCACCCATGGGCCTGTCATCCAATTTTAATACACAAGCTCTGCTCTACATCATATGTCAGACAGGCTTCCAGATCCTCCCCTCCAATGCTTAAGCACCAATTTCATATTTGCCCATTTCAAATATTTAATACTTAAATCAATTTTTTAGTTCAAACTACTGTCAAAGTTGGCTTGCAAGTTTTATTAAACCTCTTCTAAATCAAGAGAAAAATAACAGAAAATTATAACAGAAGCATCACACCATAACACAGACCAGAGGTGTCAATCAGCTGTGTTTTACTCAGAGTAGACCTATTGAAAAATTGGACATAATGTAGGTCCATAACATTTGTTTCAATACTACCCCCAATTTCCAAATTTAAACTATTGAGGGGCTTGTGCCTGGCTCAGAAAAACAACAGACTCTCTGCACCTCACGGGCATCACCCAGAGAAAAAAGCATTCTATAACAGAGAGTACCCTTTTCTGATTAAATGTTTTGACTGCACCTTTTAAAAAAACAAATCCGCTTTTTCTCATTGCAAAACTGTTCCATGGAACAGCGACAATAAGATTGTGACATCAAAGCCACCCGTGTATTCAACACTCTGCACATCAACTTCACAAAGAACATTGACACTTGGTTTTTAGGTACATCTGTGTGCACTCTGAAATTATCAGGCTTGGAGAAACTCATAGCATTAAACACAGAAATCTGTTGGCTGGATGCTGCAGTTAAAAGCAGGCTGCATGAATTCTTAAAGACACACTTCTAGCCTTGCCTACATCTGGGTAAAACCAGATGGACTTCTCCGATAGTGCAGTTTAAATACACCCACACCCAGGCCTTGTACACAATCAGAAGTTACAACATGCAGCTAGTGATTACCACCCCTGTTGCTATTTATGGCAGACCAAGAGAGAATGAAAGCACACACACCCTTTCTCCACGTCTTCCACCCACAAGTAAAAACAAGGGAGAAAGAGATATTGTCAGGAGGACCCAGAGGAGCACCAGTCTTGGTGATTTGGTCGCCTGGATGACGGCATTCAGGGATTCAGTCTGTCTGACTCCAAACTTTGTGGGGAATGGCTAAGGGCCCCTCTTTGCATCGGCTGAGAAAGTCAAGCTGTGTTCCTTCAGCCACTGTCCTAGGCTCCAAGGTGTTACTGCTAACAGGTAGACAGATGTCACCTCTGGCACAGAAGACCAAGGAAAGCTATCTGCTTAAAACAGACATGCAGAAACCTCCTGAGGCAGTTCCACTGTAGCTCCAATTGTTTGTGACTACTGACCCTTGCTGGCTGGGACTGATGATAGTGGTGAGTCCAACATCTGGAGGGCCACAGGTTTCATACTCCTGGTGGGTGGGTGGGTGGGTGGGTGGCTGCGCGCACACACACACACACAGTGTATATCCTTCTCCATTCTGGACTTTCCCACCACGCGCAGATCTGCAAGGCTGCTGTATTGTGAACATAGCTGCCTCCCAAAGGGGCCTAGTTCTTTGGTACTGCCAGACCTAACAGTTGCAGAGTTTTGCATTTAAAAGCTGTAAGGCTAGCAGACATGTAAAAGGTACAGCTTTTGCCATCACAGCATCTGTTGGCGAAGAAAAGCAGCAGCTGTTACATTCCTGCTTGTTTTACAGCTTTTGAAGTTGTCAGGAATGAGAAGGGGCCCCCATGGGACTTGCATCCCCATCTCCTCCCTCCGCCTTGCACAGACCCCCTTGCTTCTGATGCCGAATGATGCTGCTGCTCCAGAAAACAAGGTCCCTTGCTCCAGAGCAGCTTCTAGAACAGCAGTCTGATTCCAGAGCCTCCTTTCTTGCGGAAACTTGAGTGTATCGGTTCCAAATGTGAACCCTCGAACACAGAAGCGCCACAGCTGGTTGGGATGGCAAAATCCTCTTGCATAAGCAGCAGAGGAAGGAAAGTTGCTCCCTCTCACCTTAGGCAGTGCAGCTGTGCAGGCTAAGGGCCAACGTATATGGGGAGCTATTTTGAATTCTTGCCAAATAGGTTTGCGCTGCTCGCGGCTTACTTCCTGCCCCCTCTTAATCACATCCTCCGAGGAAACGCAAAGCACGGCTTGAAAGCTAACGGACTCTCTCTCCCCATGGCTATTCCTGCAAGCGACGGCTGCCTAACAGTTTCTAGCAAGCATATTAGACCGAAATTCATGTCACTGCAAACCCAGTGCATAAAAGTGGCGCATCCTAGGCAGCGAGTTCCGGGTTTCTTCTGCACAAAGAAAACCCTTCCGGGCTACTGGATGAAGAGCCATTAAGATCTATGCACATCGAAGCAAGGGGTAAGGTTTTTTGGGGGGTCCTGCGTTCATAGGCAAGGAAAGCTGCGAGCTTCGTCCAGACTCGTCCACCCACCTGACTTGCCCATAGTCCCGTCCTGGATGCGGAGCTGCAGAAGCTGCTTCTCTCCAGGCTCCGGCTGCTTTGGGTTTTTTCTGCCCGCCGCCTGCAGCTTCCTGGCGCTGCTCTGAGCCGCTGCGTGAAGCAAGAGGCTGCGAACAATCAGAGAGCAATTGGCCCATTCACAGGGCTCAAGCTGCCGGGTGATGCCTTATAAGGAATAAGGCCATTTGTTCCTTTCTCAAGGAGATGCTTCTCTGTGGTCAGGGAGGGATTATTTATCTTCTAGAATACTCAGCAACGCAAGAAAACACTACTGGATATGATTTTGCATACCAGTTTAGTCAAGTAACAGAAAAGCTAGGCTACACTCATTTTGGGTGGGTGGGGAGTGTGGAAAGTAATTGAAAACATGCTACATACTTTGAAAGGCAGCTGTTGAAGATTGCAGCAAGATGCACAGATTGTGGGGCCGCTATGTAATTTTAGACTTAATCCTTTTATGCCCCCCCCCAATTTGGGTAGTGGTGTGTGGTGCTTCAGTTGCAAAGCACACAGTAGTTGCTTATCTTCTCCCCATCCATGCTTTACAGCAGTTTCCAGATTCCCGATACGCTAGAGCAAAAGCAGACAAAAGGCAGTGTGACAACGCAGATTTAAAGAAGAAAATATTCTGAGCATGTGCAGCTTCGCATTTTCAATTCGCTTAAATCATTGCAACCATCGTGACTATGGGAATGAAACTGACACTAAATAAAACAATTGCCCTGATGCTAAATGCATTTACTTGGAAACAAGCACCGTTTTATTGTAGAAAGGGGGAAACGTTTGAAAAGTGAAAGTAATAGAATAAGCATCCAGCCACCAACATTCAGTCTTGGTTAACCCTGGCATGCCCATGTACCAGCCTGGATTCTGACACAAGGCCTGATGCATCTGGAGTATGTCTGGAAACAAGTTCTGAGGGACAGTTAGAAGAACTGGGTGTGCACCACCAGGAGAAGATTAAGGAAAGACATGATAGCAGCCTTCAAGGCAGTCATGCAGAAGATGGAGCAGACCTGCTTCTAGGTAGTTATCAATTGTAGAGTCACTACTCCTCACGAATGCACGTTTTTTGCAGTGGACAAATTGCATTATTAGCATCAAAAGTGCCTGCCCGCCCACAGCCCCCTTACTTTTCTGGAGAAAATCCACTATTAAAAAAACCATATTTTTCCTAGTTTAAGAGCTGAGAAAGAGAGTTTTGGAGGCTAGGCTATACTTAAAAAATGTCAACTGCCAAGACAGAGGCTGAGCTATCCCAATCATTTTGACAAGTGGAGGTGGCTGTCCACCTTTCAATCAGCTGGCGCCAATCACGTCAATCAACTTCAAAGGAAAGAATTGGGAGCACACTCTTACTTACTTACTTTCAGGGGAGGAAGTGCCATAACTTGAATCCCATGACGAAGTATTTCCTGAAGAGGAGAGAAAGAAATGAAAATGCCCAAAACCAACCTCAAAACTGTGGGAGTTTTTGCCGCAAACCTAACAATGCATATCAGCGCTAGTTTAATGCATGAAGTCCATAGAGCTGAATTTGCTAGAAAAGGCTCAACTAAGTCATGCCTCATGGGCCAAATTGGAGCTTGTGTCAGGCCTGAGGGCCAGAGATTCCCCAAGATCCCTGCTCTCGAGGCAGGACCTACTGGTGAAAACATGGCTCTCTATCCTTTGCACTTGATAGGTGGAGACAGACTGTCCTTGGAAGCGTCATCCTGTTGTTGTTGTTTAGTCGTTTAGTCGTGTCCGACTCTTCGTGACCCCATGGACCAGAGCACGCCAGGCACTCCTGTCTTCCACTGCCTCCCGCAGTTTGGTCAAACTCATTGCTGGTAGCTTCGAGAACACCATCCAACCATCTCATCCTCTGTCGTCCCCTTCTCCTTGTGCCCTCCATCTTTCCCAACATCAGGGTCTTTTCCAGGGAGTCTTCTCTTCTCATGAGGTGGCCAAAGTATTGGAGCCTCAGCTTCACGATCTGTCCTTCCAGTGAGCACTCAGGGCTGATTTCCTTAAGAATGGATACGTTTGATCTTCTTGCAGTCCATGGGACTCTCATGAGTCTCCTCCAGCGCCATAGATCAAAAGCATCAATTCTTCGGCGATCAGCCTTCTTTATGGTCCAGCTCTCACTTCCATACATCACTACTGGGAAAACCATAGCTTTAACTATATGGACCTTTGTTGGCAAGGTGATGTCTCTGCTTTTTAAGGGTCATCCTGTTACCCTAACCAATACCTGTTTGTAATGCAGTTTGGAGGGCATGAAGAAAGGAAGACCTGTGGTCTCACTCCCACAGTGCCCAACTGCCGTTTCCCAACTGTCGCTGTGCCCTGCCTGGAATGTTCTGGCCCACACAGGTGACTCTGAGGACCGTGAACATCCTGCATGTCTGAGTCTCTCATCTCAGTGCTTCGCTTGCTTCACCTTGCCTGAGCTGCTTGTTTGGGTGGAGGGTTGCCTCCCATGTGTGAAAAGGAGGGAACGAAGGCCATGGTGGCAAGAAGAGGACCTCCACGCCGTCGGCTTCGCCTGCTGAAGCTTGCTTTCGTGTTTCTGTTGTTGTTGCTCCCCTCCTTTTCTCAGGGGCTGCCTGTAAGTGACAGAAGACAGGAGGAAGAGTGAGAGGGTTGAACCTCTTGACATCCGCTGGGGATCCTCACCTCGCTTCATGGGTAGACCAGACCTGAATAAAGATCTACATCAGGATCTGCTTCCCCTGTGGATCCTGCTGTCTGAGCAGGTTGCCTCACTGCAACTAGGATTTGAAACCATGGTTTGAAGCTGGATCCAAATACTGGTGAACCATGCTTATGGTTGGTGCAGGAAGGATTGTGAAAACTGCATTAAACCAGGAAGAGCTTGGCTGGGGAGCAAAAGTGATTCAGCAGCCTTAAAATGAATGGCAACGGTGTTATGCTGGTCCATTGGGAAATAGGCATTTATAGTTGTTGCAAACTGCACACTTGCAAAACTCCATGTAGCCAGATAAGCATAAAATTAAATAGATGCAAATCACTAATTAATTGAATATAAATTGTTGAATATTCTCTAGGTTTTGTTTTGATGGCCTTTTTGTTTTTCAAACTTTTTTCTTTCTTTCTTCTTTTTGTCGATGTTGCTCTAGCTGGAAATCCATGTTTTGTGAATAAAATGTGTCTGTTAAGAAGAAGGACGGTGCACTTGAAGAGGGAAACCAGAGATGCACCAGCAGAGTCAGAGACTGAGTATGATAACACTTCATCTGTCCCAGAAGACCTCTCAGCTTCGGATAACCAGATAACTGGAGCAGAAGAAAGAACTGGTAACTGAAATCGCTGCTTACACCTGTTGATTTCAGACAGTGGATTAAGCACTTTTCCCCTTCTGCAGTTTTGTTCTATTGCATGTCTCTAGTTACTTCCCACTCAAGAGCTGCAACTGTAAAGATCACTGTTTTAAAACCCCAAGTTAGGAACTTTTTGGGTGTTCTAGAGTAGCTGTTTGTATCAGTGTATGTGGAACCAAGTAAAAGGATTAGGACAGCAGTCAGGGAGTGAAACTTAGTGGCGCAGTTACCAGGAAGTGACTCAGTACAAACAGATAGAGCAGGAAGGAGATAGAGAGTTTGGAGTTGGATGCCAAAGCTTGTTTTAGTAAAGTTCTTTGTTCTGCTTGATCATTTGATTATATCTTATAGGTCATTGTTAAGTTTGAACTGCATCTTACAATGTTTTTATTTTGGTTTTTGGCATTGCACTGCCTTTTATTTTCTTATGCGCTACTTCTAGATTTTTGGATGTTAAGTGGTTTACAATTATTGTTAATAAATCACCTGCAGTCTAACAATAAGCACATCAGGATCTAAGGTAACTGAAATGACTGCACTTAATTTTCTGTGTAGGACTGCACTGCCAGTATTTTGCAGGAAGAATTCAGTGACATAGTAGAACTTTGCACAGTTAAAAGTGCATGAAATCCCTCTGTTTCACCTGCACAATAAATCCACTTCTTAAAAAATGGGCTGTTTGCAATCTGGCAAGAGATGGGGAAAATGCATTGGAAGGTGAGGGATTAACAGGAAGTCGTGTGAACATCTCACAGACAAATCAGGATGAATGCAAGACCAATGCTTGTTCTACCCAATAAATAGGAACAAATGCTTAGTAAAGACTGGACAAGGCAGAGTGAATGCTGAATAAGCAGGTCATCTAGATGGCTCTGATGTATCCATGCTAATTGTGACTTTTACTTAGTGGTTTTCAAACTGCAGGCCCAGTTGTTGTCACATCATATGATTGTTGTGGTTTTAACACGACAGTTTAAAAAGCCTATTTGTAAAAGGCTTGAGGGCTACAATTTGAGAAGGTCAGCAAAAAGACCATACATACTGTATTGATGCAAAAAAGTGGCAAACCAAACCTTTTAGAACCTAGAAAATGATTCAGGAGGGGGTGATTTGAGATTGCAGAAGTGGGGGGGGGGCTTAACGCTTTCGCAACTCACTGTTTCTTTCATTTTGCTTAATGTATGTAGGGTTTGGTGTCAGCATGTCCCAAGTAGTCAGGAGAAGTCCTCAATTTCTTTTTCTGTGACCTTCTTTGTAAACTAGCTTGAAATACATGTTCTGCTTAATCTCTTGCAAATTGATTAGCTGTTATTTGCAAGGATAACTGTTTTCTTGTTACATGCATAAAACTTCAAAAAACTTTCCATGTGGGCCATGAAGTTCATGTTTGGTGTTGCAAGGGTTGAATCAATAAAATTAATCAAGTACAAAAACAAACAAACAAACAAACAAAAAAACTCACTGTTTCTTGCTCCACATTCTGAGCATATTTTCCTCAGTTGGGCTTCACACTCAGGCCTGTAAATTTTGGGGCAGAAAAACTGGTGGAGGGCGTCCACTGTTGCAAAATGGAAGATAAGGAAAATGTTGTGCCTCTATTCCTGTTTCTCTGTTTACAGCTGCCCTCTCCCAAGTGAATGCTGCCATACATATATTTGCATGTAACATGTACTGTGTCCATTCACCAGTCATTCACTATTTTTAAATTCAGTGTTCTCATTGACTTCTTAGGGAAGAGTCAAGCACTTTTATTGCAGTAGGCTAAGTAGATATTACACATCAAGGCTGTGTGGAATGCAATGTATTTTTAATATTAAGTTTTATGTATTACTATATCTCATTCTAACTCGATTTTTTCCCCTACTTCAGTTCCAGCGTACATTCTTATTTATTCAAACAGTTTAATTCTAAATTGTTTGACTGAAAAGCTGTTAATTGAGGGAATCATGGATCCCAAATACGTATGGTCTGGTCCCCGAGGACAAATTACTAGAGGTAACTACAGTATAGTTTAATTGTACGTAAGTTAAGACTACAGTCCTTAGCACAGTTTCTAAAGAGTAAGCCCACTTCAATTCTGAGGCTCATTTCTGAGTAAACGTGCTTAGGGTTATGCTGCATATTTTTAAAAAAATATATATTTAACTCTGATATATGTATTTCTCTGCTGCTCTGATAAGCACAGGCAGTCCTAAGAGCACTTCCCTGAGGAAACACTGCCTGTTCCTTGAGGGGTCTCCCCTCATGCAATTCCTTCCTTCGAAGAGAAAGCCTAGGCAGGGCTTTGGCACCCTTTGCCCTTCCATCCCATCTTGGGGCAGCCCGTCCTGTTTTGCCACCCGAGGCAAAAGAGGAGAGTGCCACCCTGTGCACCTGCCGCCCCTTGCAATCCCCGCCATAGCCTCATTAGGCGGTGTTGCGTGGCTTCTCCTCACTTCTCTGGCAGCAGAGGGTGCGCCCACGGAGGCCCCCCCTTGGATTACGCCACCACAGGCGTCTGCCTCGGTTTGCCTCATGGCCCTGCCCCCGTCCCCGGTTAATATTCAGGAGTCCTTCCAGAAACACCACTTTAGGATAGAGTTCTGGAGGCCCTAATCAGTTTCGCCAAGAAATGCAGTTGTGGCATTGTCCATTCTTTGTCTTTTGTCTCTTCCGAGAGCAAAACATCCATGATGAGAGTGAGTAGCAGGAAGAAGCTTGCATTTATTTCTATATGGCCTGGCCATATAAGAGAGGGTGTTTGTCATGTGACTTGCTCCCAGATAGGTGGGTAGAACGTGGCTGCCTTAGCTGGTTTTAATAGGACTTGTATGTGTTTATGGGATTGTTTATAGGATGGCTGCCTACATTCTAAAGAAAGATAGTTGTTGAGTTACATGTCCACTTAGCTGCTGCTCATCGGGGGGGGGGGCAGCGGCAGAGCAAGCCGATCGGGCGCCTGGGGTGGTGCGCGTGCCCTGCGCCTAGGGACAGGGCCAGCCGCCCTCATGGCGGGGCAAGCTGGGGCAGGATGCTCCGCGGGGCCTCCAAGGAGTCTGCCTGCCTCCCCCTGCTCAGCCACCCTACAGCTGGGGGGGGAGGCAGCGGGCGGACCATTTGGGGCAGCACAGAACCTGCGGGTGCGCAAACCACCATGTCACTCCCAGGAGAGACGCGTGGCTCGGGTATGCTGCAGGCCCCACAGTGAGTGGCACCCAGCATTTTGTCACCCTCCTCAGAGGTGACACCTAGGGTGGCCCACCCCCACCACACACCCCTTCCTCTGCCCCCGGGGGGGGGTCTCCTTTTGCTCTTTGTTTTGGTTTCTGCCTGGCTCTGGAGGCCTTCAGACCATGGAGCTCCATTGGTCAGCTGCTCCCGCTAGGAGGGCTGGGGGCTCTGAGCGGCTTCCCTGGCTGTTGCACCAAGTGCCCCCTGGATCCCCCCCAGTCGTGGCGGTTTTGGTGGCTCAGGGACCAGCCAGGCAGCACAGTTGGTGCTGGCAGTCCTCAAAAGCTCT